GGGTGAATACCCTATAAAAATTTCTATAAATACACTAGAGCAAGTGGGTAGTACACTACATGGCGAAATAGCATTTTGCTCTAGCTCTAATCAAGAGGCAAGCCACCTACCAACAATTCTAGTAAGTTATGATCTCTAATCACTCAATGGCTATGTCTCTACTTGCTACACTAGTTGAGCTAGCCAGAAACTAATTACAACTAATTAAACTAGGCTAGTCAACTAGCTAAGCTACCACAAGCTCTACACAAAGTAAATACAAAATGCAATGCAAGAGAGTGGTAGTGGAGATATACCGCCGTGGCAAGTGATCAATCAATGAATTCCAATGAATACCAAGGAAGACAATGTGACACGATGATTTTTCTTCCGAGGTTCACTTGCTTGCCAACAATCTAGTCCTATTATAGCAATTCACCCACTTGGAGGTTCACGCGCTAATAGGCAGCACACGCCTAACCCGCAATTAGGTGCCGCACAACCAACACAAGATGAGGATCCACAAGCTACGCGCAATCCACTAGAGTTGCCTTTCGTGATCTCCCATGGGGAAGGCACAAGAACCCCTCACAATCTACCAATCAGAGCCGAAGAAAAACACCACCCTCCACTCAACAATCCGCGCTGCTCCAAGCCATCTAGGTGCCGGAAAACACCAAGAGTAATAAGAGAAATCCACAGCGAAACACAATCACCAAGTGCCTCGAGATGCAATCACTCAAGCAATGCACTTGGATGCTCTCCAATATCACCAAATGATGAATCAATCAAGCAAGATGAGTTGGAGAGGATTAGCTAGGCTCACAAGGTTGTATTCTCAATAAAAATGGTCAAGAGAGTGAGCCCAAGCCGGCCAAGGTCTATTTATAGAGCCCCCAAACAAATCCAACCGTTATGCCCCTCAATGGGCTGTCTACACGTCGACAGGACCCTCCGACCGGACCCATAGTGTCCGGTCTGGACCGAGTCTGGTGCACGTGATGAAGCCATGTGTCCTTGGCGTTCAAGCTCGCTTGTCGATCTCCAACGGTCACCTTAGCTGCACACTTGAGTTACTCCGGACCGGACTCTGATCCCTAGGGTCCGATTGCTCCTTTTCTGTGTCCAAGCGCGTGCGCCAACGGTCAAAACCTCTGGACCGGACTCTGAGGCCAGGGTCCGATCGCTACATGCCACATGAGTTCGGTCATTTACAGAGAGCTCCCTGAGTGCCAAAATATGACCGAACCGGGTCCGGTGCTCACGACCGCACTCTGACCCAGGGTCTGAGCCACCACATCACCACTGCGCTGAGCAGTCGACCAACCGGACCCTCAGCCCTGGGTTCGGTGCCTCCTTCATGTTGGGCCGGTCACAACGCCGCACCCTTGGCCTAAGGACAGGGTCCAGACCAAACTTGCTATCATAGGGTCAGGTCCTGCCGTCAGCAGGGTCAGGTCCCTATTTTCACCTCCTTTTCTTCTCCAACTTCTTCACCCTTGTTCACATGTGCTAAACACCAAGTGCATCACCAATGTGAACGAGTGTTATAGCATATTTTCAAAGCATTTTCAAGGGTGTAAGCACTCACTAGAATCTAAATGCATATGCAATGAGTTAGAACATCTAGTGGCACTCTGACAATAGTATTTCACAAATGAATTTCACCCCTCTTCATAGTATGGCTATCTATCCTAAACCCACTCACACCCACTTGGTGTCTTGAGTGGCAAAACAAAATGGCCCTATCAAATATACCTTTGTCTTGAGCCCATCTTATTTTTCTCTTTCTTCTTTTTCAAGTTTAGAGCTTTGATCACCATCATTACATGTCCATCTTAATCTCCATGGACTTCATCTTGCTCCAACACTTGATCTTGGACCATCCTATCTAGTCACACACTTAGATGCAAGGATTAGTCCGATGGATTTCATCAATTAGCCAAAACCAAACTAGGGCTTTCAGCTTGTCACGTCAGCGTATAGAGAGGATTAATTTCTGTTTGGACCCAGGTGAGACCTGAAACACAATTTAGAGAATCAAAAATAACATTTAAGAGTACATGAACCTAGGTAACACCCTATGCCAAGTTTAAGGGCCGGCCATGAATTTTCCTTGTTTGATAACTTATGTTTTAGGATCGGTAATGCTCGGCCATGGGCATCCGTCCGTCCGGATGTGGCTCCTAGGCCTACGCAACGGACCATCCCCTATCTCTCTCAACCCCCCACTCCGCCTCACAACGCACATGCCGAGCCAAAAAGGCATTCTCAATTTCCAAGGAAAGATTCCGCCGTCACCGCATAACCTGCAACTCACGCCGACCGGGTTGATCTCCGCCGTCTGCTGCTACCTCTCTCTTCTCTGTTCAAATCCGGCGACCGGCATCCCACCACCACCAGCAGTAGGCAGTAGCAACTCCCGACGCTGCCGTTGCACCTGCATCTCGCGCTAGATGGGCTGATTTCGCCCTGCCGTGCCCCCATCCCCCACAAGCGGATGACGCTGGACGACTGTGGCCAAGCGAGCAGCGACTTGGAGTAGAAGCAGCGGGGCCACAGCGATGAGCGCATGCCTAAGCCGTGAGCAGGCGCGAGAGAATCGCAAGAGGAGTGACGGGCCACACCGATGGGCACGAGCGCGCGGAGCGACGTCTCCCTGACCTGAGATTGCTGGCTACGTAATTCCTCACCAGGTAGGCTGTGGCCGCCAGCGACGTCATGTTTCAGGCGTTTCAAACTTATGTTTCAAATGTTTCTTCTGGATGTTGTAAAAGTAGATCTGGGATATTGCATATGTTGCAATCACAATATACACATGTTGCAAGGCTATGTATCAAGTGTTTCAGGTGTTTCAGACATATGTTTCTAGTGTTTCATTGCATATGTTGCTATGGCTATACACGTATGTTTGAAGCGTATGTTTCAAGTGTTTCAGACTTATATTGCAAGTGTTTCATTTGGATGTTGCAGAAGTAGATCTAGATGTTGCATATGTTGCTACGGTTATACATGAATGTTTCAAGCGCATGTTTCATTTGTTTTAGACACATGTTGCAAGTGTTTCATTTGAATATTTCAAAAGTAGACCTTGAGGGAACACATGTTGCAATGGCACCAGTGGCCAGCGGACAACGACCAGCCTTAGCCGCCTGCTGCTAGGGCAGTAGGGCTCCGTCGTGGGTCAATACATCGCCTACTAGTGCCGCCGCTGCTACTGTGCATGCAGGCGCGTGAAACGGAGAAGGCTTGGGTGTTCCCTGTGCATGCCTAGGCGTGAGCGAGCAAGCCGTTGGTGGCATGGCTTTTTCCCATGAATGCCTGTGACGAAGGAGGTGCAAGAGTTGTGTTCGTGTGCGTGACGGAGGAGGCTCGCGAGCAACGTCCGGGGGATAGCCCTTCCGTTTTAGGGTGGGTGGAGATTAAATAGAAAAAAAATCAGAAGAAATCTGCAGAACGAACAAAAAGTAGTAGCAAAAAAAGGGTAGACCAAGCGGACGAAACAGGAAAAAAAGCGAAGAACAGGAAAACAGAAGACGGCAGATGGACAAAGAAAAAAATTAACTGGGCGGTACGGAGAAGAAAATTAACCAGACAGATTGAAGGACGGTCGGACGGACGAAAGAAATGTAGAAGATACTATTCAAACGGAACACGGGCAGACGGATAACACTTTAATATTCAGAAAACGGAAAAAAATTAGTTACCAGATGAAAAAACGGATATAACACTTTAATATTCAGAAAGCGGAAAAAAATTTACTAATACGAATTTAATATTCAGAAAGAGGAAAAAATTACTCACCGATTTAATATCCAGAAAGCGGAAAAAATTACTTGCCAGATAAAAAAACCAGACCAAAGGAACAGGCGAAGAAATTTATGTACTTTAGTATTTCAAAAAACAATAATAGTATTAGGGATAGAATAGAAAACAAACAATGTCTTTTATATGCAAGTTGTAATGGCAGAGCGTCTGCAGTGTGGAGCACCGGGGTCGGTTTCGATCATGGGCTCCACAAACGACATGACGCGTCTTGCTGTTCAGCTCACGACAGATAGAACCATACCCACACACACAAAAAAAGAGACGGGGCGTTTCTTCCTGTAATATCTTCAGTCGGGCCTCTTTCCCCATTCTTCTTCCGTTTCGCCGATCTGCTGCGGCTCTTCGTCCGAGTTCGTCGATCCGCCAAATCCGGCCAATCCAAGCCTCGTGCGGCGCCCCCTGCACTTCCCTATCCGCCGTTGCCTCGTCTCCCTCATGCGGCGGCCGCCTTCTGCTGGTCGTGCGCCGCCGCCTCTTCGTCATGCGCCGCCCGATCTGCTCCGGAATTGCGCATCACGGGATTCCCTCCCCGGCCCTGCGACGTTGGAGTGCAACAAGGAGGACAAGGCAGCCCGAAGGAGGACATCGTGGTGTGGGCGTCCATGGTGTCGTGCGTGGAAGTCGCGTGCTGCGTCACCTTCGGGATCTGCGGCATGGTTTGTCTCTCCCCGTCTAATAGATTTGGTGCTGTGTGATAGTAGCTTTGGGCATTGCATTATTGTTTTTGTCTAACATCTAACTGAAGTTACAAATAGAACCTTTCATTGATTTAGGTTCACAGTAACAATACAAAAAACTAAAAATAACAACGATACATGCAAAGGACATCTACAGATTACATGTTCTAAGGTTGCCGACCACTAAATTTTTGCCATATATGTTCCACTAGATCTGCCCGCAGACGTTTATGAGTCTCTCTGTCATGAATCATACCATTGATCTTGAGAACAAGAAGAGCAGGTGGCACATTGCATAAACAGGTACAAACCAATATTAATATTACCAATAATGAAAAATCGTACATAATAGTAGTGCCACATACATTTAGTACAACACAAATTCCACACACTAATACATAATGGTAGTGCCACATACATTTAGTACAACACAAATTCCACGCACTAATACATAATGGTAGTGCCACATACATTTACTACAACACATACAATACACACTAATCCATAATGATCTGCTTAGTTGTCTGAAGATGGAAATAGTTCCTTGGCTAGACCTTGTAAGAGTTGTTCATGCAGCTTCAGTATTGCTGGACTCATGTTCGAAGTATCCTTATCCAACTGTTGCATGTAGTTTTTTATCTTGTCTATTCTAACCTGCTCCTTTGATGTTTTTACTGTTTTCTCTAGTGCACTTGCTCTCTTCAACATAGCATCGTGAAATAAAACCATGTCTTCATCTGGCTGCGAGCCTAGGGGAGATTGTGGTATGGCCTTTCCCTTTCCTTTTTCTCTCATCCTAGCTTTTGCTTTCTTCTGCCCCTCGGGCAACACTTCTTTGAATGTCTCCCCTTCGTTAGATGAAGTGTATGCTCCAGAATCATCTACTTTTGTCCTTTTGTTCTTCTCTGAACAATCCATACCAGGTATACTTCTATACCATTTTGGTTCCTTCCTCAGAATCTTCCAGACATATTCAAGTGTAAATGGTTTTTTCTTGTTTTCTCTTTTGAATGCAACACGTGCTTTGTCCATCAGCATGTCATCAGATTCCCCACTACAATAGGTCATTCGACCATAGACCCCATTAAACTTGGTAACAGCTACATTAATTCTTCCCCAATGGTTTTTGAGCTGTCCCTTTGACCTTCTTGCACCTTTAGCCAGGCCCGAATTGAACGATTCTGCTATCTTGTTCCAGTAGGCCTCTGCTCTGATCTGTGCCATGAATTGGATCTACTGAATGCTTAATCCAAAGACTTACAAGGCATAGGTTATCGTCCTCAGTGTAATTAATTCTCATAGCCCTCCTTCCTTCATCCGGGCTGCTGGCGTTTGAATCTTCCTTTTCTTCATCTTGCTCCAGCTCTCTTATTTGTGTTTGCGGGGTTGATGAATCGGAGTCATGTGAAGATGCACCACCAGCAGCACCTACAAACATTCCACCTGGGAAGCCAAAGTTGGGTAGTGGTTGAAAACCTTGATAACTTGGTGAAAACTGGACATACTGTTGAAGGTTGCCTACACCACCAAAGGGATTCAAGTTGTGCATGGGGTTGAAAGTGTTGGGTGCGAAATTTGGCATGTGTTGGAAGCTTGTGTTACCTGCTCTTGGATTTCTAGGATCAGTGGCGAGCAACCTACCAAAACTTTCCTCTGAGGGCTCCATGTGAACTAAGAAATATGAGTATTGAGTTGTTTTAATTTTGCTTCTCTATTTTTGTGTAGGCTGTTGGGAACAAGGAGGTATGGAAAGATTGTTAGGAGCAGAGGAGGAGGCCGCTGGGAACAAGGAGGCAGCGGAGGATTGTTGGGAGGAAGGAAGCAGGCTGCTGGGGCTCCTTTTGAAGAAGCGTTGTGCTGTAGCAAGCAACAAGGAACATTAATTTGGTTAGCGTTGAGAGCAGAGCTTTTCAAAAGCTGAATCAAAGACAACCTACTGCGTTAGAGGTACCCTAGGAATTCTAAGACAATATATGATAAACCAAATGACACAATGTAACCCTTCTTGATTTTACCATATCATAATAGAAAATTAATGGTACGTAGGTGAATGTAGAATTTTTAAGCTAAGTTACAGGTTAGTTCACCTAGAATCCCTTATAATCCAAGACAAATTGAAGGCTTGGATACTCTGTATTTCAGGATGGAGGGAGCAACCAAAAAAGATGTCAAAAAATAACATAAAAGGCGTGCCTGGGCACGCAGAAAAAAGTGTCACTAATTTTCCATATTATGGTTACCATGTATCATCACAAAATGTAACACAGAAAACAATGCACATTTCCTTTCTCCTTTTATTGCTGAGTGTCTGTACAAAATGAATTATCTGTTAATGCATTTCCTCTACCAGCTTTACACCTTAGCATCTTCTCTAACAAAACCCCAATGTTTCATGTCCAATTGGATGAACCATTATCTTGACAACTGGAGATCAAATGGTCAGAGGTGTTAGCAACGAGAACTTTGTACCAGCAACTAGTTTAACTGGATGGAGCTACACCGGAAATACTTTCCTCCCTGAGAACTACTTTGGTTAATTTCTCTAAATACGCCTCAGTAGGAGTGTAGGACCAGTAAAAATCATCTCGATGCCTGAGGCAAAAAAATTGCTGAAACAAAACGGGAAATTATCAATCAGGCATCAAGCAATGTCACCTACAGTGATGAAAAGATCTGGTCGACCCACTCAGAGAGCTTGCGGATCTTTTTGGTCATTTCACTGATCTTTGAAAAGTAAGATTCTGCATTTGAAAGCATCACAGTGGTATCATGTCTGACAGCCTCCAGAGTTCTGTAATAATTGTTTGCTAATCTTGTCTTGATCACCTCAATAGAAAATTGGACAGGAAACCTAGGGCAAGAATTGTATGGCCAGGAGTCAGTTAAGATGAGCATTACTGTTAGATATAACATTAGTGTAAATAATACACAACAGATATTTGTAATCTTTGTACTGAGCGAAAAAAAAACTCAAAGCAATGTACTCCATATATGGTATCTCCTAAAATTCTAGATAATCTGACGTAAAAGAATATATTATGAAAGAAAAAGGAATAAAAGAGAAAGGAAGTATGAAGTCACATTTTTTTCTGTCAACCTTTTGTGAAGAAAACTTCAACAAATATTGCCTTGCAAATCATAATTCAGTGAAAAGTTGTTGGAAAACAATATATTAGAAATACCTGTTGATGAAATCTGACTTTTCTGCAACCTTGTCCAGCTTTAAAACACCATAATGATCCTGTAAAACCATAAATTCATATTGTAATTGATCAATACCACAGAAAAAATGGTAGCAAAAGTGTGATGATTAAAAATCAAATGGCTTCACCTGATCCCTGTGTGACATTTCCTGTAAATTTTCCATTTCTGATATCAATTGATCTCGAATCGTGAGATCGATATGCGGATGTTTCCATGGATCCCATAAATTGCCAGTATCATGAAGTTCCCAGGGGCTATGAGCGTGAAAAGAACGATCCTCCTTATACTGTATGACATATTTTTCCCATGGACTCTCAAGAAAATCAGGTGATTTAGGTCTTACTGCCGTCACCCGTCCCTCCCACCAAGTTCCTCCTACCTGTCCTTCTACGTCCCTCCACCAAACTTTGCACTTGTCTCTGTGGGTCCAGTTCCGCTCCATAGCAGCTTCATACCTTGTTCTCTCCACAAGAAAATCTGGAAAGTTAACCAGCTCACGCAACGTGATCAAAAATATTTTGCCAAATCCACTGGAATTGCAATCAACGAATTCAATGGTTAATTTACAGCAGCTTTCGCCAGATCCTCTGTAGGTGGCATACTCAAGACCCTGTATTTTGCAAAGTTCTACAGCTTTAAGGCCTTTTATCCAGTTCCAAGGGCAAGATTCAGATGATTGCGCTTCTTTAAGATATTCCTCATGGCCCTACAAATAAAGCAAGCCCAGAAAGAAGTATTATAATAGTGAAATACTAAACAAAGCAACCCAAGAAGTGACAGTCACATGCTTGTAATTCATTTCACTTTACAATTTACATGTACTTTTTTCCACCAATTAGTAGTCCTACACTTAGGACAACAAGAAGCAGCAAAATGAGAACAAAAAGTAAGAACTTTCATCCCCATTATTTTTGTAGAAAACGTAAACATAACATTACCTGCCCCAAGTACATAACCTCATCACCGAGTTGAGGAATATAACGGTAGCTATCTTCATGCTCAAGCAACATTAACCATGAATACTTTAAGGAAACCTGGTGCCTTCTACCCAATGGATGTGTATCAGGAAAGTTGCTACTTTCTCTTTTGTTCCTAGAAGACCTTAAACCAACAGTTTTTGAGTTTTGTCGCCACATTACATCACGCACATCTGTGACAACTCGTCTTCCACTAGTTGATGCTTCATGGGAACTGTAAGAATCTTTCACTTCCGAGATATCCTCCCATGCTGTACCATCGATATTGTATGCAAATGACTTCCTTGCGCTTCTTCTCAATCTACCACTTGCAGCTGCAACAGGACTGTATTCTGGAGGTTGGTATCCACCATTGTCATTGGAGATAGAAGTGCTATCCTCGTTTGCATATTCATCTGAATCCATTTTTTTCTTGTTCTTTGGCTTTAACCTTTTGTACACTGCAGTGTACTTCTTTGAAGAATCCAAGTACAGTTTTTTTGAATCATGCAAACTAGTGCTTTTATCTGGGCATTCCTGAGAACTTTTGGGCACATTAAGGAAGTCAGCATTTCTAGGTTGATTGATGGAAGAATCATCACCATGCTGCACTGAATCTTTACCATGCTTGGAGTTCATGACATTTCCTACTGCATCTAAAGATCCACTTGACTTGAACTTAAGTTTTAATTGAGGCTGAGAAGTATTGGGAACTTGTACTGCGTCATTCACTCCATCTGCATGGGCCTTACTATTGTTAGATATTTTTTCTTGATCCCCCATATTTTCTCTGTTGTACTCATCAGTACTGTTGTTTTCCTGAATGTTATCTAGAATTATTCCATGTTGTACTTCTTGTGCATTTTGCTCAACAGTTTGCTGGATGCCATCACCATATTCATGAGGCATCTGCTGACTGCCTGATCCCTCAATATCCTGTAAAGCAGCATTATTTGAAGAAGACCACAAACCTCCAGCTGGCTCACTGTACTTGCAACGCTTTGAGGATCGCGCCTTAACCTCACCCCACCTAATTGAGTTATTACTACGAGCAGCGGAACTACCATGCAGATCACCATCAGTTGTTAATTCAGCCTTGCAGGCAGAGGAATGTCCCGGTTCAATAGTTAGTTCTTGCTCAGCTGGTTCATCATTAGCTAGAGAAAGAGATTTCACTGCTTTATCCTGTGTGGCTTTTCCGCTTCCTGAAGGAAATTGAGTTTTTAAATCACGTCGTCGTATTCTGAGAACTAGTTTCTTACCAGTTCCAGAATTTCCCTTATTATCAGTAAAATGAGAAGGTTCTGCAACATCTTCAGTGTCATATTGGGAGTTAATCCCTCTGCTGGTTCTTAGATGGCCATTCCATTCTAACTGTTCAGCTTCAGTGCTATCCGTGTTCAATTCACTATCAGAGAAACTCTCGGAGTCATCTTCATCCTCTTCTGTTGAAGCTCGAGCTCCTATCTTTGAGAAAAAATGTAATGCGTTTCGAGCAGCACGTTTTTGAGGTCGCAAACCCCTGGATTTAGGCGACCTTTTCCTTTTGCTAGAACGTCCATTCCTAGATTTCTTTCCTCTATGTGGCCTTGACACTGTGGCTACACCAGGCTCATCCAAATTTTTTTTCCTAACTCGCCGACCAGACGAAGTAACAAGATCAGCCTGCAGGAGATGAAAATATGCCAAAACTTAGAACACAACACCAAGGAATATAGGATGATCTTGAAAGTTGACACTTACCTCAGATTTTTTCTTCTTTCTTCTTGATCGGCGGAGAAGAGCACTATTAGGGTCATCCACATCAATTTCTGCACTTGAATATGAAGTACCTGAGGAATCACCACTCATAATCTCCTGTTCTCCTTCACTTGAATACTCATCCATGCCATTGTACTCAGAATCAGTATCGTCAGAGATAACTTCATTTTCAGGTTCAAGCTCAATGAAGTCTGTTATCTCTGGAAGCGGTTCCCACCTATCCGGATCAATAATTGGGATAGTTTGGTATTCACCGGTTGTTGCATTGTAAGTGGGGCCAACAGCAAAATTTACAGAGGGAGGTCGCCACTCAAGACCAAGGGTACCTAACCGGCGATTCTGGTACATACTCTGGAAGGGCTCTGGATATGGTATCATACCTGCAATTGCCAAGTATGACGAGTGCAACTGACTATTCAAATTACTCGAGAAGGACTAGTATGAAAGTTACATACCAGCGTCACACAAAAGGTCTTGCATATTTCTCCTGTATGGTACAAGCTGTGTTTCCTGCATAAAGCAAAAGCTGCATAAGGAACAGCTGCATAGCTCACTAGCCTATGGGCTTTTACAGAGAAAACAACTCTACAAAGTCATATTAGAACAGGGATGAATTCTGATGGTTTCAATTGAGGAGAGCTGTCTCCTTTGTGTTTAATAATGTTTCAACATTCCACTAAAACCTACAAAACCAGACAGCTACAAATGTAGAATGAATTTTGTGAAGCTCCTGAAATAACTGTGCATAACTTCTTGACATTCGCACAATGAGAAGTTAACATTACAGCTACTCAAAAACATATAGTGTACGAAGATCATAATGATACAAATATTTTCAACAAAGGCTATTAAGATGTCAAGCACTCCTGGATGCCTAGGCAATACCATATTAGCTATAAGGAGCAGCGTTTAGAGTGGATAATGAACAACATGCAGCTGTACTAGAGAGAAACGATATGACGCCCAGCCCACCAGACCAATCCAGTTGACAACAGGGCAGTTCAAAGTAACAGTGAGCAAGTGTAGCAGCAATGCCAAGAGACAATGGCACCAACAGCAACAATGAACAGCAATTTTTTGAAAGCAACACATTATACAAGAACATTTTGTTCAGATTTTCACATCGTAATGAATGAAATTATCCATTTTAGAAACAAATCGTCAGAAAAAATAACTCTGAACTGTACCACTAAAAACTCAAATTGAAAACATTTCAATATCAGAAATTAATCACATTTTCTTAACAAACCTGATCAATAACACTTCCATTGTTATCACGGATGAGAGGCCGATAGTCTCCAAGGAAGAACTGTTAGAAAGAACTACTGTAGTCAGCATCAAAAGGGATAGTCAACTACACAATAGTTTATTGTTGTTCTTATTATTATTGGGTAAATTCCAGCAGCAATCCCTAAACTTGTCTAGCATTCTCATATAGGTCTACAAACTCGCAAATTGCATATTAGGCCTTAAACTTGTCATGGTTTTCCAGGTGGGTCCAAATCAATGTTCTCGTCCATGGGGGCACTAAGCAAATTTGTGAAGTATTAGCCGGGGGGGTTAGAAGATATTAATATGACTCACATTAACTAAGGGGGCATCATGGTTGCATGCCACATGGGCAGCAGCCAATTTGGACCTGTTTAGACCAAACCTACCAAGGACAACTATTAAGGTCCAGAATATGCAATATGAGAGTTTGTGGACCCCCCAGATGAGAACGCAGAACAAGTTTAGGGTCCACTGATAAAAAACACTATTTTTAATTTTTGCAGAGTGGGTGGGGGGCACTACGTAGTGTAAACATGTCTGAGTGCATTCTGCAAATTCTATGAAGTAGATTACCAGGGATATTGGCACATGTGTGGCTAATTTTGTGAAATAACACTAACCCAACAGACCTGCCAGATTAGAAATTTATACATGACATAAAACTTGAATTATAGATTCCAATCCATCTGCTACTCAGCAAATGATTCACATTGTCACTGGGATTGTAGTAATATGCATGGTTTCACCCAGACATTAGTTTGCACTAGGCAATGCCCGAGAACGTGATAGTCCAAAAACAACTAGTGTACCTGATCGTATTTTGCATCTTTCTGGGACTCTCCTTGCCCAGTACCAATAATGAATATTTGACCAATTTCGTCCGATAAAATAAGTGATGTACCATCCCTAAATGACCATCCAGCATACAAGAAAACATGACACATAATTAGTTCACTTTCATTAACAACATTAAACAATTAATCAATGCAGTAAATCAACTTTGAAAAGGGGCTACTCATACTATAATGCTATAACTAACCGGAGAAATGTAGTAGTATTTGTAAGTATACTCTAAAAAGGAATAGGACCGATACTAAATTCTTAAGTATATGTGGAGCCCATAGACATCCAAGGGTACAAGGCACTGCAACTCAAAAATCCAACCTCATCCACAAAGCAAGTACTCCCTCCATTCCAAATTATAAGACGTTTTGGCTTTTCTACGTACATAGCTTTTGCTATGCATTTAGATATACACTATGTCTTGATACATAGTAAAGGTAATGTACCTAGAAAAGCCAAAATATCTTATAATTTGGAACGGAGGGAGCAGAAGTAAAGAGAGTAGTGGCAGCAAGTTCTTCTGCACACAATTCTTGTGTAGAGAAGTTACATGGTGCCTAAAGGTTCAAGAGGATTATAAGAATGACAATTCCTCGTACTCTTTGAGGTTGTGCTAAAAGAATTTGAGGTCAGCATCATAAAAGAATTTGAGGCTGTAGCAGGACAATCCTATTAGGTTCTGAAGTGACAGCGGTAAAGTTGTGCATGAACGAAGGCATTCGGACTGTTGACCATCTCAGTATCTTAAACAATTCGAATGCTGGTTAGTCTGGTCACAGAAACGAAGTAAGAACAATAACTAAGGTCGCCATATTGGAATTCTTGTAGGGAGGACCACTCTCAGCTTAACAAGGCATTTGCATATCTATTGGAGTGGAGTTCATGAAAATTTTGAGGCAAAAATATCAGAATTGTGTTTCTGCATCAAGCAACAACAGATTTTTACCATGTAGTTAATCCCTCGATTCCAAAATGCAAGATGTTTTAGTTTTTCCCAACTCAAACTATTCTAACTTTGACCAAGCTTATAGAAAAATATATTAACATCAATAATACCAAATAAACGCACTATGAAAACATATTTCATGTTTGATTTAATTAAACAAATTTGATGTCGTATATGTTGGTGTGCATTACTTTATGAACTTGGTCAAAGTTTGAGAAGTTTGACTTGCGACAAAGTTAAAACCTCTTACGGAACAGAGTGAGCACAAAAGAATATTTTAGTCAATAAAAATAGCAAGGTTCCAAAAGGCGCTAGGCGCTGTCTAGGCAGTGACCTCCGCCTAGCCTAGGCGAGCCTAGGCATTTTATACAAATACATATATAACATCTAAAAGAAAAGAATAAAGCAGAACAGTGGGCTTAGATTGGAAAAAAGGCCCATCAAAGAGTCCAGCCCACCTTACCCACTCCAAACTTATCCATCTGCTTCCTCCCAATTCAGCCGCACGCCCTCACTCGCCTCTCCTCACGCTCATCGCTGTCGCCTCTGCTTGCGCTCGTCGTGCACCTCTGCTCGTGCTCTTCATCCGTCGCCTCTACCTCCTCCCGGCCATGCTCGTCGCCCGGCGCCTCTCTCTCCTCCCGGACGCGCTCGTTGCCCAGCACCTCTACCTCTCCTCCCGGCCACGCTCGTTGCCCGGCGCCGCTCTCTCTCTTCCCGGCCACCGCCCACCCTCCTCCCAGCCACCGCCCGCCGCTAGCCTCCTCCTGGCCGCGCCCGCGGCCCACCACCCTCCCGGCCACGCTCAACACCTCCGCTGCGACCCGCCATCACTCAATGGCTCTGGATCTAGTGGGGACGCCGCCTAACCTCTGCCTACCCCGCCTAGCGTTTAAGCGTGCCTAGGCAAGCGCCTAATAGCGCCTTTTGGAACACTGAAAAATAGTACCTAGCTAAAATTAACTATTGCAGGAAGGAGGAAAAACTTAATTATGTTAAATGGGCCCAGTATTATTCACTCCAATCATGAGCAAAATAAAATTTTGTACCACTCATATGAAAACATGCTATTTCTAGACTTTTAAAGTATGTTACTAAATTATGTCAGTGTAAAAGATTAGTTTAGGGTCCAGTGTTAGGGGAACTACATTGGACTAAAAAACAAATAACCCATGGTCCAATTTTCCATGCTCAATAGCTGCATGAGAATCGCACATAAACATCAGGGAATCGATCGACTATACTAAAAAGTTAAATCTTGTAGGCAAAGCAAGCACACAAGCTTAATTGTCGATATGTGCCAACTCGTTGGCCATTGCCATGATTATTAATCAAGTAACATAAAAGATTTCTAATAATGGCAAGAATATCAAAGTCTTGGCAGTTACTTAACTGCTAGGACCTGTTTGGATATTTTCTAGGTAGAAAGGCTGGGTGCAAACCTATTGGAATCACAGTTACTTAACAGTTCAATAAACAAAGGGATCCAGAAACGCTTAAAAATAAGCTTGTCAAGAAAGTATACAAAGATACTTACGGAGAGAACTTCCCATCAACTAGTTTAAATTGCCCTGTTTCATAGATCTGAACAGGTTTTCCTTCCCATATCTGGTGTAGAAAATTTGGATGAGATTATCAGGTTTGTGTATTTATTAGAAAATAAAGGCACGTAATTTTTCTTCTCTTTTTTTTATGACAAACAAAGGCATCTAGTGAAAAGAAAAACAGAAACAAAGGCATCAAGTCAAGAGCATACATCCCAGATGATCGTCTTCCCATCATACCCAGCACTCATTGCTATATGAGGATTGAACGGATGCACATCTAGAACAAACGTCTGTTAAGAATGAAGTTGATTGATCAAATCAAAAAGGATAATATTTCTGCAACCACAAGTCAGATTCTGAGGAAACAGACGTTGAATAGCAATATGCAAATGAAATGCAAAATAATAGGAATCATGATATTAGAACCAAACAACCCACAGATGTTTATATCATTAAAGAATAAAAAATCAGCAATGATACAGATCATATAACTGCAAGTGAAAATAGTACTCTATTTGAGATAATACCACACAAATCAATTTCTACGAACATAATTCATTGCCAAAACAAATATTAGTGCCCTTGGTGGCAATGGAAGAGTGTGAAATGCAGTCACTAAACATAAACCAAAACTCCACCGAGGCCAAGGATGTCACTGACTAAATGGAAGCTCTTGCACATGAAAAAGCTAACAATTCATCAGAAAGAGAAAAAGGATAAGTTCTCTACAACAAAAATTAGCACCTGAAACTCATACTGCCAGAGTTTTCCAAAAGAAAAGGAAAATACTCAAGTTTAACATTCCAAAGATCTCATTTGCAAGTTTTTATGTTCCATTTAAGTTTCATCATCATTGATCAATGCTCTTGGTACAAAATTTTTGGCAAATAATAGATGCTGCTTCAAAGTGCATAAGATGATAAAAGTAACATGATGAAATTTCCTTCAAAGGGTCCTTGTCCTTCCCGGGCGCGGACACTGCCGCTCCTCGTTTGCATCCTTCCTTCCTGGGCAAGGACAGCGTGCTCTGCCACGGCCACAAGGACGGGGGCGACACGTTCGGCTCCTTGCTTTTCTTCTGGCCATTCTTGCCGTTCTTTTGGCCGCCGTTCCGGGTCCCGGGCGGCGGCGCCGGCGGGACTGTGTCGTTCCCGTGGCCGTTCCCAGTGCCGGACTGGCTCGTGTCGTTCCTGCGGCCACCGTTCTTGCCATTCCCGGTCAACGAGCCGGCGCCGTCGCCACCGCCGCCGTTCTACCGCTTCCCGCCTTCCCAAGAAGCGGCCTAGAATCGTTTAACAAGAGCTAGGTGGTCCTCACCTACGTGCCTCGTCCTGGCGCGGCCCTCGCCTACGCGCACCACCAGGACCGTGGCCCCCCTCGCCACCTGACCCCAACCCCAGTGGCCATCGACATTGCTGCTGCCTGCTCCAGCCTTGGCGTCTGCCGATTTGCTAGTGTCCAGAAGACCCGAGCTAGCTCCTTGGCGTCTCCTCGGGGCTGGAGGAAGCTTCTACGGATCTTGCTTGCAAGGTGTTCGAGGTTTTGCGGCAACAACATCGAGTGCAAGGCCCACCGGTGATTTCCTGATCCCCTCCGGCGGGCCATGGGTTCAGCATCGGAATTGGCCTCCCGGCTGGACTTTGATCTTGGGCTGCAATTCCAAGATGAGGTCCGCCGGCTCTACAAATCTCTGGTACACCCTCCTCACCACTCCCCCGATGGCTCGTTCTTCCTTCTTGTCACCTTTCGGCGTCACTTGTTTCGTTTAACGGAAGATTCAGTTTCTCTTGCTTTACAATCTTGTTTGGGAGGCCGTGCTTTGGATTTCCATGTGACTTTTCTGAGCAATAATCATTTTCGGTTCTCGGTCTTTTCCAAACAAGTCGGATTCCATGTGTATAGACTTCGTAGAGTGATCACCTCTACCTTTGATCTATACTTCCACCTATGGAACAATGGCACGCCTCATTGGGAGCGTGAGAAACGTGCCTGGGAAGAAGAGCAGGAGAAAGAATGGACAAAAGTACTCTCTAAGAGATCCAAAAGGGAAGCTGTAAAGGCCTCCAAACCTCAAATAAGAGTTAGTTTTGCTAAGAATTTGGTCGATCATTCTCCCCTTAAGCACTCTCCGCAATCGTCAATTTGTTTTGGTGCTTTCTCTGCTCCTATCAAAGAATCCACAAATCTTCTGTTTGGGAATACCAAATTTCAAATTGGCGGAGCCCATGATAGTGTTCTTCGGCCTGATTGCATGCAGCGTCCTCCCTGCATGCAGCAGCCTGGAGAGGATTATACGCAACGTCCTCCTTGCATGCAGCGGCCTAGAGAGATTTCCGCGGCTGTTTCGGAAGATTCCCTCAATCAACGCGGGACTATGGCCATCTTTTCAAATTCCAAATCTGCTGTCTCTGGGCCTTTTTGCTCCCGTTGCTCAAGTTTGGGCCATATTAGCTCCAATTGTCCCTCTCGTATCCGATGCTGGAAATGCTCTAATTGGGGACATACTAGAAAGCATTGCCGGTCACGTACCCGCCAAATTGGGTCTGGCAACAAAAGTTTGACTGCACCAAAAATTTTGTTACGAATACTGCTCCCCACCTGGTTTGGAAACCGAAAATCCCAAAAGGCAAGGAAATTGAGCTGAACCTCGATTCTCGCGCAGATCCCCCGAACCCTTCGCCTAACCAACCAGTTCAGCAAGGTCAGCATGCCCAGCAGGGCCCGGTGCAGCAACACCCAGGTCTGCAGCAGAATCAGCAGCTAGATGTGGACAACATGGAAGTAGATGAAGCTGATGATGAGTGGCCAGCATGGAACCCTGCCGTGTTTGCTGCTGACAATGGTCAGGTGCTCCATCAGCATCCTCAGTTTCCTCAGGATCACCTTGATCTCGAGCTGTCAGGATCCTCTATGAGGTTTTTACGTGGTGATGGGACAGACATCTCCCTTGACCGTGTATTGGAGGGTATTTCAGTTGAGGATGGTAGTTCCTTGTCCAGTGATGCAAGCTCCACTTTGGTGGACAGAGCAAGGTTTGCTGCTGCACAGAAGAGGTGCACCATCATCTTGATTTTCAACAGAAAATACATGCCTGATGAAGTATTCCACAGGGCCTCATTTTCTCAGGCCAATGACAACATGGGACCCATTGTGATTGACAGAGCTGTTCTGCAACCATCCCTCAACCTGTCCTCGCCAACGCCCGCTATCACAGGCATGGAGATTGTCACCTGGAAGCCGGTCCTGCCTGCTCTAGCTCTCCAGCTATGGCCATCTGTTGTGGCGAGTCGTCGGGCAGCATGTGCTCAGCCAAGGTCTTCCTCTGTTATCATCCTGCCTGATCCTCGTGTCGAGCAAGGCCCAGCTACTTCTGGCTCGTCAGGTTTTGAATTTCAAAGTGAGCAAATGCAGCCCAGTCCATGTGGTGAAGCAGGCATGAGAGTATACCAACGTCGGAGGACTGCCATGCTCTCCCTGCCTGTGGCCTCGAGTAACACAATCTCGCCAGTGGTGGAAGGCTCTGTTAGTCGCAGCACAAGGATGAACAACATGTCTCTACCCGATGTCTCTAGTAATCCTGCTACTCCGCTGGTGGACAGTACTGTGAGACACAGCACAAGACTTAGTGACAAGGATGGCTTCCATGAGGTCAGGTTGGCTGGAAATCCATGCAAGAAGAGAAAGACACGTCCAGTACTGCTTGTCGAGCCTACGGGTCAAACTGGACCAATACCAATTGATATCCTGCAGGGCTGGGGTATCAATTGTGGAGTAGCTCCTGGAGAGTTATCCCAAGAAGCGCTGATGCAGGCGCCCTCTTCCAATCCGGTGGCCAATGATGAATCCTCTGATTAAGTTATCGCCAAGTGCTATGATCGTAAACTTTTGTAGAACGCCTGGGGCGGCAGTTTGCTCATTTTATCTTGTTACAGTCGTGTGGACAGATTTTAAGTGTGTCCTTTGCTTTAATGTTACTATCTTTCCCTCTTTGGACACTACTATCAATCTTAGCATTTTCACTTATCTGGCTTCTACTTCTCTGTTGATCTTCATCCTCTCGATCAACATACCACCAGAAATGCAGCCCATCCTAATTATGCTAGTCATATCAGGAACTACCGTCTCCCTTTTATTGTTACATAATGGGTACACGTAACTGGACTATTTTGTGCTGGAATGTTCGTGGGATCAATGCCACAGAGAAATGGGATGCGGTACGTGATAAAATCGAAGAGAGTGCTAGCTCAGTAATATGTTTGCAAGAAACGAAGAAAGAAACCTTTGATATATCCTTTATCAGAAAATTTGCACCACGGCGTTTTGACCATTTTGATTATGTACCCTCGGTAGGAGCAACTGGGGGTATCCTTGTTCTCTGGAACAGTGCAGTTTTTTCAGGCATAGTCACTGATAAACAGAGCTTTGGTCTCACAGTTAGCTTCACTTCGACTAACACCAGCGAGACCTGGAAACTAACCACAGTCTATGGACCATGTAATGATCCTGGCCGCTCAGAGTTTGTTAGCTGGTTTCGTAGTCATGCTATATCTGTTGGTCCCGTGCTGCCCTGCACAGGTAAGCAGTAAGCTTACCAGCACACGCACTCACTATAGCTAGAGGTAGAAGAAGAGATTGAGTTCAATAACACACACACAGCACAAGTCCAGCCCTGGCCGAAGCTCTGCTTCTGAATGTGGCTGATTTGCTGCATTGCCTTAGCATAGTATATATACATGGGCTGATACCTCTACCAGGTACATAGTTGTTGGTGCGTACACCAACTACCTACTCCTAAGGTACAAGGCTTAGCTCAGCCATCTCTACACTACATGGCTGAAGTAAGCCATTTCTACTATGGCTCATCGCTTTCATTGCATAAAGAATTGGGAGTGGACAATGAGAGCCGACCAGCTCCAACTCCTAATCTGCAGCCAAGAGAGAAATGGGGGGCAGCAGATTATGTCTTACAATTCTTCCCCTAATACTGTTGCTAACCCGATGCCTTGACCTCATCCATGCCAATCATCTTCCTCAGCTCCATGAACCGCAGGCGCCCGAGTGACTTGGTGAGAATGTCAGCGAGCTGTCTACCGGTCTCGACGAACTCGATGACGATCTGCTCTCCATCGATGCAGTCTCGGAGGAAGTGGAACTTAATGTCAATGTGCTTGCTCCGATCGTGGAGGACAGGGTTCTTGACGAGGGCGATGGCGGGCTGGTTGTCGACCATCAGAGCTGGCAGGTGAGCTTCCTCGCCGGTCAGCTCGCCCAAGCACTCGCAGCAGCCTGA